ACCATTCTTCCTATTAGTGAAAGCACATTCATAATCGGATTCATTTGTGCTTTGGAGGAATCAGGTGCCCCAGGTCTAGATTGAGAGAGCCACTCACACAGCTGGTGAGCTTCCCAGAGTCACTGCTGGCGGAGGTGAGGGCGCTGACAGTAAAAGGATAGGCCAGGGGTGACCATGGAATTTATTCCAGGTTTTAGGGGAGTTATATGTAAACAGAAGTAGGATCTAATCACCAACTATTGAGATCAATGCGTATACATGTGTATATATTTAATGTTTACTCTTTATGTATTTATTTTTCACAAATGCATTTATTTTGATATGTGGAGCTGCATAATTATTTGCAGTAATGTAACATGCAGTGCATGGTGAACATGGAGACTAAGGTGAGCTCACAAAGTTCTATGACAGCACTAAAGTGTTCTTCAGTTCTGCCCCCTAGAGGGGAAATTAAGAACAACTGCGGAGAAAAAAAAAATGCCCTGCTTCTTTCTGCAAAGCAGGGATTATGAGTATTTAACTATTTAAATATATTTACTTACTATGTAAATTACAGATATTAATTCATGAAAAACTGATTGACAGGAACCTGTCACATATCATGAATGTAGAGATCTGTCTTTAAAAAACTTGCTCAAAGGTGAAATAATTCAATTCCATTTCTAGGAAAAGAAAACCAAGCTAGCAGGTATACTGGGCTTACTCCTTGTAATGTTCTATAATAAAAGATCACTGCTACAGTGAATTTAGTTTGGCCTGGGATTTCTCTTCTTACAAATGTAGTGATAAAGGCCCCCCTCAGTGCAAGTCACCTGGAGTCTTTAATTTCTCACTCACTGCATTAAACAAATACAGAGCTGTCACTTAACATTAGCGTGTCTGTCATCTTTAAAAAATATGCTCTTAGATTCTGATCTACTTGTTAGGTTTTGTTTAGAATAATTGTGCCTGAATAAATAAGCAATCTTTATTTCTTTTATTTTAAATTCATGAAAAATATATTTTAGAGCTTTAAAAACCTTTTTTATATTTATACAAATTTATTTATTTTTGTTCTAATTTAAACTTTATTCAAAAAAACATTCTAAGAACACTATGAGGTTTTATTGGATGTGTGAATTTACAACACATTGTGTATATGTATTTACAGAATGCACAAGCTGGAGCCATAATAGAATGCTCTGAAAATAAATCCTCTCGCTACTTCTTTTTGTAAAGTTTACAAAATTTCAAATAGCAGAGTAAACCTGCAATACATGCAAAAACATGGAAGAAGTAACAAAAATTGATAATGCAATAAACCAGGTTTAATTCTACTCCATTCTGAGACTCAACTCTCTTCTAATTCAAGAAAATAAAAAAATATTTTCACAATGTACAATATTAGAAGAGAGCAATTTTTAAAATATATACAAGTCAGTAAAAGAGAAACATAGTTTTTAAAACTAGTGGTTTTACAAATAAAACATCCAGTTTAAACAAATTATGACCTTCAAAATATATTTGTGAATACGGCACTATAGTATCAGAGGTTTGGCTCAAGATATCTCTAGGATATTTTGGAAAATACAACTTGGTTTTTATTTCTCATTCATATATTTTTAAAATAAGTATCACTTTATTTTTATAGATGCTACAAAAATTTTTTGCATTGTTTCAATTTTAGGCCAAATGTATGTCAATAAAAAGCAAGATTGTTTTAAATGGTTTCATTATATAATCAAGGCTGTCCTTGAACTTACTATGTAGCCCAGGCTGCCCTTGAATTCTTGGCCGTCTTCTTGCCTCAGCTTCCTGAGTGCTAGGATTACAGGTATGCACCACCATGTCTTACCTTTTTAAAAGCCTTTCTTTTCCCTTGCATTGTGAACTAGTACCATACAAAAATATATACATAAAGCAATACCAAAAAAATCTTAAAAGGGAGATGAAATACTCTGTAAAACATTATATGAGAGTCAAGCATTAAGTTCCTTGTGTCAAAATTGTATGATTTGTAGATGGTCTCAATTAACATGTATTTCCTTTATTTAAACATTAAAGGAAAAGGAGGCTACATAATTTATCTTACAATTATTGCAAGTTTAATTTAAATGAAATAAATATGTTAGAAATATTGTAGCATAACTGCATAAATTAAATTAAGCAGTGTGTGTGTGTGTGTGTGTGTGTGTGTGTGTGTGTGTATAAAAGGATGTCTTTTTCTCTTGCTTTATTCAGTAGGAGAGAGATAGAGATAGAGAGGCCATCCTTACTGGAAGAGTGACTAAAAGCTGGGGGACTACCTGACTCTGGATTGTAATTTCAACTTTTCATTTTTTTTTTTATGCACATGATAGATTAAAAACATATAGCTGGGATTCCCTCCATTTTCCTGTTTGTGAACTGTCGCGGTTTGAAGCTTTCTGTGCTCCTCCAAAGCACAGGGTGAAATAACTCCTAACGCACCATGCAGGGGAGAGGCTAGTGGCCCCTGCTGCACCCCTGCGTGGACGTCTGTGCAAAGCTGCTGTGGAAGGAGGTTTTCTCCTCTCTACTCTTTGGCCTGAGGGAACTGGTGCTTCCTTTTGTGTGCCGCAACACTTAAGGAACCAAAGTGAACCAAACAGACTGAGAATCTAACTTGCCTATTTACTCCATTAGCATATACCCGTGGTCCATCTATTGCGCATCACAGCAGAGAATAAATCAATGAATTTGGCCTCTTTCACAAGAACTTTAACTTAAATGTTAGGCTGAATGCCAGATTTAATTCCTGGTCTTTATGGGATCACATTGAGGAAGACAGCATTTCTTAGAAGAGATGACCCCTGATAAAAGTCTCCATGTATGATTAAAATTTATTCCAGCCACCAAAAGGGAAATGCATAGGAACCTTAAGAGATGAAGCCATAGAACTGGAAAAAGGCTAAAATTTGATGTAAATTTCAAGCCATTTGCCTTTGTATAGATTTCATCCTACCTTGGGTACAATGTCTACGTGGTAGGGTCATGGTTAGACCTCATTTTCTAGAGCCCTTGACAGTCTTTCCATAGGTGAATTAGTCAGGACTGGAAGCTAAAAGAGCAGTTAATCCCAAGCTCCTGAAATGAAGTCTCAGATACCTGACAGTCTTCTGGATAGAATTTTGGTAGTTCTTAAGAACTTGAATGTTTGGAAATGGATCTCCAGAACTATTTGTAAGTTTAGCGAACTTGAAATTGTACACCCACTAACGAGTCACTTTTTATTTCCTTCTCCCCTCAGGAACTGGCAGCTACCACTTGGTATGTACATTCTGTTTCTTTGAACATTACTACAGTATGCACATCATATAAGTGGAATCATACAGCATTTATCATTTGGTGACTGCCTCACTTCCCTGAGCAGAATAAAGCCATAAGTTACCAATACTGAGTGAATAGCTAATACACTATGATCGGATATGGCCTCATGTAGTACATACAGCATGTCAACAAATAGAAATGCTACATAAGCATTAAAACTTTGACAACAATTGGTGGTTAATTTCAAAGGACCACTGGTTATGAACCCATTCTGCATTTATAATTTTTGCACCTGCAATTATTTGCATGCCAAAAAAGTGCAGCCACAGTTGCCTAATTACAGGCACAGCTATCCAAGTCAGCCCTCCACAAGAACAGCACAAAGAGATGCCATCTGTGAAAGAGCAGAAAACCCCTCCGACCTTTCCTGCTCCACACCCTGGAAGGCTGCGGGCACAGTTTCCTCTTGGCTTTTGTCTCAGGCTTTATTTTTGTTCCATCTCATTCATGCCTTACACGCTAGACATTCAGACAGGCAGAGAGGTCTTTCCTCTTGTACAGCCAAAGTGCTTCCTCCTCCCCTAAATAATCTGTGCCACAGTTTAGTCAGAGGAAAAAGCTGTCTCTGAAACACATCATTTGCAATGCTAGCATGAGAAGATTTGACTTTTTATCCACATGTGATATTACACAGTAGGCCAGCTGAATATCATAAAGAAAGAATCTCATAAATATTTCTGCTTAAAAATAACAAGAAAATGATGACTCTCCTTTTTGAAAAAAAAATTTTAGCCATTTATTAAAACTGCAGCTGTCAGTTTTGATCAAATGTATTTACATTTCCCCATTACATTAGTAGGGCCATCATGAAATTTAATAATTGTCTCTTGGAATTTGATTTCCTACAAAAGCATCATAATACAATCAGGACTGAAGCAAATAATTATTGAACTATGTGGTGACAGTTATGATTTCAGGTGAGAAATATGAAATAATAGATGAGAAATTTAAGACCCTGTTCAATCCTGATAAAGATTCTGTTCTCATACAAATGTCAGTAACACAAATGTGGAGCCATCACACTTTCTTCTATAAAAATAAAATAGATTTCTAATGCAGTAATTTTCAAAAGTTTCAATGACAGTCCAATTGTTATTTATCATTTAGTCATACAAAATATTTTGAATCTGATAGCTCTTCTTTTAGAAATAATATAAATTAGGAAATCCAGTAGTTTATTAGACTAATGACAACAATCACAAGGTAAATACACTTCTTGTAGAAGAAATCTGTATTCACCCATTCCATAGAGTTTGAAATTGCCATTAAATATTACTGCAAAGATGTAAGGAAGGGCAAGTATTTGGGAATCTAAATGTTTAATTTATTTCATTTATTTAACTTTAAAAGTTACAATGAATAGAAAGGTACACTTTTGTTTTAGTATCTTTGCCTCAGTGTGCATGCCATGAAAATTGAAGCAGGAAGACATTAGTCTTAAGTTTATTGTCAATGACCAACCCCATCTAGACATTAGAAATGAAAGAATTTACAACTGGAACCTTGTTAAAAAATGAGAATTTATGAAGGTACAACATCATTGCAGAAACAGCTGACTATTCAATGGGCACAGGCAAATTCAAAATATCATTAATGGTGTGATGAACATAAACTGTTCATTTTGCACACAAGGTAGAACATTTTGAAATATTGCAAAGGATAACAGTACTCACATCCAGAGCTTCCATTCGTTGATACCAAAGTCAGGTTGGATGGCCACGGATTCCGAACAATATCTTGCCAATGAATAGTGTCTGCATAGCAAAGGAACTTGTTCTGGTCCACATAGACGCCACCATTTAGAATTTCTACACAGAAAACAAACAGATTTGTTGTCAAACCGCTTGAGGAAAAAAGCAGTCAATTAAAAAAATGATTTTTTTTCGGGTTATTTTCAATGTAAATTAGAGGATGACTGTTAATAGCCAAGATATCTTTTGCATATCTTCCACTGAGTCATATATATGGACTGCAGAAATTTTTAAAAGATTTTTAAACTTAGAGAAGAAAACGAAAACCACCCAATTTGTACATTCAGAAAAAGACCTTTGACAATTTGGTACATATGCAATTACTTTATTTTCTTTCATCTTACTGAAAGTAGACTAATTATGTAAACATTTCATAATTTGCTAATTTGGCTTAGTGCTTTGAACACTGATTATCATTTGATATTATTTTAACAAAAATGCAATATGACAGAATATAAGTTAAATAATAATTTAAATTTTTTCTTGTTTGTCACTTATCTTGTTTATCTCTGGTTAATCTTTGACATAAAATTTCAAACTACTTCCTCTTCTATTGAACACACTCATCATTCTTTTATTATTATTTATTCAAAACAAAACAGAGCAGATCAGAACAGAACAATGCAAGCAGCACAGGAGTTCAAAACAAGACAATAGGAAATCAATAATGGCTGCCATAACATCTCGTTTTCTTTGAATTATTTTGCTTTAAACAATTTATTTAACTGTAATGGACTTCTGTTTATTTAACTGAAGTGACTTCCATTTGTTTTGATACATCTTTTCCCTATGGTGATTTACAGGATCTTCAAGCCAATATAAATATCTCATAAATAGTTGGCCACTTGGGTGTACACCTACACAGTACCTCATCAATATCTTTCAGCAAGAAAATCACTGAAGAGGACAGACCTGACACAATTTACTATGTAGAAGGAAAATCTGCTTCAAATATTTGTTTCTGAGGTAAAGGCACCACAGACCTATTCAATTAAGAAATCCATTTTTACAACACAGGATGATTTTTTACTTTTAAGTGGGGCCTATAACACTTAGCTTCCCATTAAGTGCTGAATGGCAGAGCTCCATCCTTGCTTAGGCCCTGAATTTATAGCGAGTGCAGGTTTCTAGCAACTCAGCCTCCTTCCCATTGATTCTCACGAAGTGCATTTCTTTGGGCAGGGCCAGCTGGCACTTTAGTTGAACCCAGGCACTTTTCTCTTTGGCTTCCTTTCTGATCATTTCCTTGACATTTCAGGAAGCTATCATGACTCTTTGAGTGTTTAATATGCTCAGTGCACACATTAATCCTCTTGGCAAGCTCTGGGCCTTAACTTCTTGTTTGCAACAATGCCAATGGCATGCAGGTAACACTGGAGACTTCCTGTTTTGCCTTGGAGACATACGTGTGGCCTTCCTCTTTGCATGGTACCCCTTCCCTTGATGTCTATGGTATCACCCTTTGTGTAGATTCGCATGTCTGTGACCAAAGGAACAATGCCATGTTTTCTAAAAGGCCTGGAGAACCCACACTGGGTTCCCCCTCTCTTTGTGTTCATCAACCATCATTCTTGCACTTTCTGAAGCAGTTCTGGAAGTCCTCATTCTTGAGTGTCTTTATTTGTGCTGTCCTGGCTGCTTCTGTGTCCTAAATCCATTCATAACATCTACCTTTCACGGTCGTGCTAATTTTGGGGCACAGCCAGGAGTGGCATGTTGTTAGATTCAATGAATAAAGTGAATGAGGCCACACTCTAATGTTTTTAGGAGTCTGCCTTTCCATCAGATGTCACTCAGCAGTGACATTCACTGTTTGGCTTTGTGCTTTTTTTTTTTTTTTTTTTAATCACACCTTGTAAAGCCATAAAAGAGGACTCAGAACTGATTTAGAGTTTTAATCATGATGGGACAAGTGTGTGTGGAGTAAGGGGAGACTTTTGAGGGGATTGACAACTAAGTGTCATTTACTATAATACAGTTCTTTAAACATTTACTGTGTAGTTCAGTCACCCCTTGTATAATAAAAATGGTGTTTCACTAGGAAAACAGTGACTATGGAATAAAATACACTAATAGCAATTTCTACTTGACTCCTATTTGAAAACTAGCCTTGGTTAGTTAACTTGTCCCCAATAATCAATGCCTGATCAAACAGTCGATTCTTTTTCCAACACCTGTTGTTACCCAGAAAAAAAATATTTCCTCTAGAAATACTATTATTTTTAAAGACATTGGCTAGAAATACACATAGCACCTTCTTGTCGAATATTTATGGCATGTTTTCCCTAGTATCCAATACAAATACAATTCTAGAATAATCCTAGAGCAGTCTATAGAGGATAGTGATGTGAATAAAACAAAACATAACGATATCTAGATCCTAGTCATTTATACTGATGGGGCTTCTTCCTTCTCACAGGAAAGGAACCGTCTTGAGGCCGATACAGATGTGGTCCAGCTGCCCCACTGTCCCCCTCTGCTGTTAAGCTATCCCGTGTGCTAGCTGTATTCCTTCTAGCTCAGGAAGGAAAGACTGCTGCATTGAAAACATCTGTTCTGCACTGATGGCAGGAAAAGACAGAAGAGGAAGGAGGAGACTTTTTCACCCAGTGAAGTTCATTTACTTCTTAATTTTTTTATTAAAAAAAAAACAAAACAGAAAAAAGGATAGAAATAATACAGAATTTCAAAAAAACATAGTAGGAAATTAACAGTCATGAATACATTGCATATTGTTATCTTAGAAGTCGTTGTTTAGGTTACAAGATTTAGCCACACAAATAAAGATCAAACAAAGAAAGCACACTGTTCTTTTTAATGAACAGAGATTAGTAGTACAGGTATCTAGCTTGCATATATATATATACATACATATATATGTATACGTATCTTTCTACATACAATCTTTTCCCTTCTTCCTTCTCTCCTTCCTCCTATCCCAGCTGTTCTTTCCTTTTTAGTACTTTCTTTCCATTTCATTATCACATTATTGTACATTTTGGATCTTATTACTCTCTCACTTTTTTCTTTGTTTTACACTAGGGAGACAATACAATATTCACAAAAATGAGTTTGATTTATTTCACTTATGAGTTTGGTCTCAAATTGCCTCCAGGGATGTATAAAGTTTCTTGAGACTGTATCAATAGATAGCCCAAATGGCCTTGAACTCGCTAGGTAGTGACCTCAAATTCCTGGGGATCCTCTTGCTGCTCCTAAATGCTGGGATTACATGTGTGCCCTCTGAACAAAGGTTTGATTTTCTATTTGAGAGAAGATGCTTTCTTCAAGGAATTTATCTGCATTCATTCTCCAGAATAATGATTTAAGGACACCGCAGGAAAGACTGAGGAACCATCTTGTTAGGAACATATTGCTAGAAGGGATGTCACTGAGGATGGAGAGAGACACAGTTTGGGGAAGAAAACAGACTTTTTCCCACGGTAACCTTGACAAAGCCATCTCTCTTATATAGCATACTAAATTAAATTTTAAAAGAGCAGACTTAAAGAGGGAAATAAAAAATGAAAGGAATATGTGGCAGCACAGAGGAGTATGTATGAAAGCAGAATTGGTCAAGACATCCAAATTCTTTTTTTGCTTTGCATGAATGAAATCCTCCAGATTAATTCTGATATTGCAGAGTTTTCCACATGTAAAATCAGTCTTACTCTCACTATCAATCCTTTCATCGAATACTGGTTCTGTTTTCTCGGGAGTGGAGAAAAAAAAATTAGATCATCTTTCTCCCTTTAAAACCCAGTTCATTATTTTTCTTGATCTAATTATACAGCCTTCATCAAACCAGCAGGGGGGTGGAGGACATAAGAGAGATTGCGTAATGTTCAGCATTAAGTTTTTATCTAGGAAGTGTGATGATTTCATACTAATAGCTTTCTCGTGAAACATTAGGTGACGTGCTTCTGTTCTAGGAATAATTCTTCTTTAGGTAACAAAGAAAGGAGATTCTTCCTGCTTTCCAGGAAACCAAGGTTATTTTTCAGTCTACATTTGGAAAAGTTTTACTTTAAAACTAAGCAAAGAGAAAGATAATAGCTCAAATATAATGATGAATGCCTAGATTTTTTTCAGGAGTCACCTTCTAATTCAGCTTGATCATAGTAAAGAAACAGTATCTATCTCCAACTTCCTATCTAAAAATGTTCAAATAGAATCAGATTATACTGAAAAATAATCTTATCAAATCCCTTTCAGCAATACTGATCTGCTCTCCAATTGTTTCTTAGAAATATTCTGTTGAAGAGCTTCGCTTTTACTTGGAAATGGGGATTTAGAAAAGAGACAATAATAACAAGTATAATCTTACATGTTAAAATTTCAAATTAAGATATAATCATGATCAATCTAGATGATACTTTTACCATCACAAATTTAAAACCTAACATCTGCTACAATGTGAGTCAGAAGCATTTATGAATTTTAAGCATTTAATGTTGTATAGTTTATGTGTATTTTCTTTGAAAAGTTTTTTATTGCTTTGGGCATATATCTTATTCTTCTGTTGAATGTTAAAAATTCAATAATCAGAGAATGTATATTTTCATTGAAATTCATAGGAAAGTTTTAATGTACACTTTAACTTATATTTTTGATTGGCTGGATTGCTTAAAAAGCTGTCAGAAAATGATATAATTAGATTTATAGATTTTAAATTTTTATTTGATTATAATTCAATATATATTGTGTAAGACAATATTTCTTTAACTTTACTTCTTCTTGACTACAGAGTTCTCAATAAGGGGCTCTGACTAGTAGTAAAATTCTTTTAGGTTTAAATTTTGTACTTTAAAAAGTAGTATTTCTACCATGATTGAGTACAGAGACATGGTTGTACTTTTAAATCTAAAAAGAAATGTTTTGTGTGATTTTTATCTAATAAAATATATGGCTGTATTTAGCTCTGTTTGTGGTAAGATTCCAAAACAGTAATGCTTTCTATATGTTTAATTAAAGATTTATAGAAAGGAGTAACCTGTGTTACACCTACAGTTTCTGTCACTCACAGAACTAATAGTTAAACTTTAAAACACACACAC